GTATGTAAGAGGAGAAGCATGGCAAAGTGGAGATGACTTTGATGGGAAATGAATCACAATAGTGTGCATTGGTAATGCACACTGATGAATAAAGAACTACTATTACTACTACTAATATTTTTTGTCATTATTCAGATGACTGCAAAGTTTCCAGGCACTGCTATCGGAGTTCGGCCTTTAGTTTCATTTGGAGTAAGTATAACAAAAGTTTTAAACAAGACCCAGTTTACAAGCAAGCATCTACTTTAAGAAATTATTCAAAGAAGTATTTAAAATCATAATTTTTTACTGACATTTTGGTTCCCACGCAGACCATTTGTTGTTGTTTTTGCTTAAATTAACATAAATTAGACATAGTTTTGCAGACAAATGTAATGAAGCTTGCACCTGGAGAGGGTCATTAATTCTTTRTAAAACATTTGAAAAGAACAAGACTTTAAAAAGCCTTCAAATCTAAAAACTCAATTCACACATGATAACAGTAAAAATGTCCAATGTATCATAACAGATTAATATGTATTGCTTTAATATCAACAATGCAAATGAAAAGTTCTGGTTGTGTTGTTGTGTTGTTTCATGTAGTCTCGTGTCCCTTTGGTCTCCTCAATGGGCAGACCAATGACTGGAGCTGTGCAGGTGAGAGCCAATCCAAATTTAAATTTTATATTCTACTTTTTTTTTGTTTTTGTTTTGTTCATTTACATTTTTTTGCATTCTTAATTTTTCATTATTACAATGAAGTTTAACAGCTATTCTTTTTTTTTTTGTTTGTTTTTGAGAAAAACAATCATGCATACACAGTTGACGTTTTGGCTTGTTTTATTTTGAAAATCCCAGACAGGTTTTGTTTATAATGAATCAGTTTCATGAGCTGTGACGAGAACCGTGCAGCATAAAGACATTAATCTAAATAAAATGCAGTCGTATTTTAGCACTTTGGAAAAAACTGTTCTTTTTCTTTTATGAGAAGGCACAATGTTTGTTGAAATTAACTTTATCAAGTAAGCTTTTYATCCAGTTATTTGCTTTTTTCTCATTTTTCATTTGAAAGGATGGGACAAGTCGACCTATGACTGCTGTCAGAGCAGCTGGTTACACATCCTCCATGACACGTGGTAAATATTTTACCCATCACACCAATTAACTCTTAACACTTTCTGGGTTTTTTTTTTTTTTTTTTTTTGTGAGTCTTTGGCTGTTCGGATTGTTGTTTTTGAACTTCTGAATTATGTGTGCATAGAGAAAGAGCAGGGAAAGATTTAAAAGTTTAGTTTTTCTACTCTACAGAAAGACTAATTATCCCCTTCATGTATGTTTATCAGTACAACAGTATAAGTACTCATGCTACAGCACTTATCTGTATTTTCAGGTTCAAACTTTGATCCTTTGGGTCAATCCAGGGGTCCTGCTCCTCCACTCGAAGCAAAGAACGAGGACACGTAAGTTTTGTCTTTTTTGAGATGAAATATTATATAATAT